TTCATGCAATGCAATTAAGCATCAGGAACCAAACATCATGGTGTTTAAGCTTTACGAAAATACAGACAGAGCCATTCCTGCTTGTGAAGGGCACGAAAACTTCAGGTTGAATAGGGCCTGGTTACGCCGGTGCGTGTACTCAGACACAACACTGGCTGGAATGGTTCCTCCTGTCTTTATATGTCTAACCCTAGAACCCATTGGAATCCGAATCCTACAGCAACCCAATTTATTACCTCAAGGCCATAGGTAAACAAGGAAAACTGAAACAAACTTTAAACTTTTCGCTGCTCCCCCATCTTGCCTGCCAAGAGACGATTGCACCTTTTGCACATGGCTAAGGCAGCTACCAAAGATAAACATAAAGTAGATTTTAATACACTTTGTATTTTAATATGGAGGCTTTGTTCCCCCGAGGCAGTTCCATCAATCCGGTGCAATAACTTTTATGACTCAGACTCGTAAATAAGTCATAAACCTCGTTTCTACCGGCGGCCATCATCTTTTAAAAGAATCCAGTATATTACTATCAGTAATTAAAGCTGATATGATGTAAAAAAAAACAAAACAACCCAAACAAGACCACTGAAAAACTAAATAATATTTGACATGGACCACACAAGACAAGACCACTGAAAAACTAAATAATATTTGACATGGACCACACAAGACAAGACCACTGAAAAACTAAATAATATTTGACATGGACCACACAAGACAAGACCACTGAAAAACTAAATAATATTTGACATGGACCACACAAGACAAGACCACTGAAAAACTAAATAATATTTGATATCGACCACACAAGACAAGACCACTGAAAAACTAAATAATATTTGACATGGACCACACAAGACAAGACAACTGAAAAACTAAATAATATTTGACATGGACCACACAAGACAAGACCACTGAAAAACTAAATAATATTTGACATGGACCACACAAGACAAGACCACTGAAAAACTAAATAATATTTGACATGGACCACACAAGACAAGACCACTGAAAAACTAAATAATATTTGACATGGACCACACAAGACAAGACCACTGAAAAACTAAATAATATTTGACATGGACCACACAAAATGTGTAAGATAAGCAATATGTGTTCGTAAATGAACTCGGATTTTCAAGCCCATAACTCGCAAATGCTATCAAAAGGATGGCGATTAGTGATGACAATATTTCATTATTATGGTTAGCGTAACTGAGACAAACAAACAGAACCAATTACAATTTGGCATCAACTACTGTATACCTCTCTCTCTCTCTCTCTCTCTCTCTCTCTCTCTCTCTCTCTCTCTCTCTCTCTCTCTCTCTCTCTCTCTCGTCTGATTGCCTGACTATTGGGTAAAATATCTTACTTAAAGTAAAAAGAAAAGAACGAAGCCAACACGCTTTGAACATTTTAATAAATAATTTATTTCCCTGGTAAAACAATAGTTAAATAGAAAAAAAGACTTACTATTTATACATCTAATCCAAAATAAATCCAAGAATTTAAAAATTAAGTTCTATGAATAAAAAGTCTTAGGTGAATCACAGTCCGGATTCCGATGAAATTCCAAGATGGCTGTAATTTTCACAGTGTTGTTGTGTCAACAGATCCTTGTTGAATCACAAAAATTAATAGTCCAGTTTAGAATTTCTGAATAAATTTCGATAAATACCTTTGTCCAAGATGAAGAATTGTTATATGTATGTTTACCAGGAAATTGAATTACTAATTCTGAAAAAAAAAAATCACTCAGACTGATCACAACAAAACACCTTTGAGCTTGCTAGGTTAAATGCACAACTGGCAATTTCTTCTCAATATAACGACTATAGGGTAAAAGCGGAAACAAAACAGATTCCTGGATGGGTCAAGTGATCACCTCTCTACAGAACAACGTATAAATATTACATGACAAAATTATCATGTACTATAGCATGGCTTTGATTTCACTGAATAAATCTTACAATAAGACTGAATAAAAAAGAAATAAAAAAATGTTGTTTGCTACAAACTCTATCTGATTGCTGATCAAGGTCAACAATTAGCTACAATGTTTCAACTACTGGCTGTTTACCAGGTAAAACAGAACTGAACTGAATTTCTCAAACAATCAACTCAGTAGATAAAGTTATCATTACAATAATATGCAATGTAATAAAAAAATACAAAATTTAAAACTAACAACCAAGTATTGAAATTAATCTACATAACACTTGTTATTGCAAACTACATGCATATAGTAATATCACTAGCCTTTATGACCTTGTTATTGCATACTGCATCCATATAGTAATATCACTAGTCTTTATTACCTTATAATTGCATACTACATGAATTTAGTAATGTTTCTAGCCTCTATTATCTTGTTATTGCATACTGCATGCATATAGTAATTTCACTAGCCTTTAGTACCTTGTTATTGCATACTGCATGCATACAGTAACGTTTCTAGCCTCTATTACCTTGTTATTGCATACTGCATCCATATAGTAATATCACTAGTCTTTATTACCTTATAATTGCATACTACATGAATTTAGTAATGTTTCTAGCCTCTATTACCTTGCTATTGCATACTGCATGCATATAGTATGTGTCTAGCCTTTATTACCTTGTTATTGCATACTGCATGCATATAGTAATTTCACTAGCCTTTAGTACCTTGTTATTGCATACTGCATGCATACAGTAACGTTTCTAGCCTCTATTACCTTGTTATTGCATACTGCATGCATTAGTAATGTGTCTAACCTTTATTACCTTTTTATTGCATACTGCATGCATTAGTAATGTGTCTAGCCTTTATTACCTTGTTATTGCATACTGCATGCATATAGTAATGTGTCTTGCCTTTATTACCATACGTATCAGCTTTGTTCTTATTGCGAATTGTCTTATTGCGAATTGTCTTATTGCGAATTGTCTTATTGCGAATTGTCAATCAGATATAATAATAGTTGCAGGGAATTGTGTATGTTGTTACCGCAGGACGGCATTATTTTGGGTCGCGGGTCAAGATGAATACAAAATATCATGATCATCAGATACGTCATACTAGATATGTAACAGATAATAACATTGTTTGATTATTGTTTAGTATTTACTCATTGAGAAGCAAGCGTGACAATTTGATTGCTGGTCGTTGCTCTACCTGATCAAATTTTGTTGAAGTTATATGAAATGCTTTAAAATTTCTCTGCTTGCATAATCTTTATAGGCATTTGTGCCTTATATTTAACGGACCAAAATTTATGTAACTGGCGAGAATTCGAGTCAAGCAAGGCTTTAAGTTTGGAGAATTAGGATGCCAAAAATTGCTAATTGAACTTTAACTTCAGCAAATATATGACATGGTGTATTAAGGGAAGAAAGGAGCAACTCTAGCTGAAAAATAATTATTTTCTAGGCTGTGGATAATGATTTTCAAAATGTTCCAACTACTGTGTTCAATGGTAGTGTTATCAGTACTATAAATTTAACGGACTACAAAGGACGTTGAGAATCGTGAAACGGATTTCCAGTTAATTTTATTTATCGTACGGACAGATAACAGATGTGGATCAAAGTTTTATTGCTCTTCTGTATTATTATGGCTGTGTACAGTCAGACGATGAGTGATTCTACAAAGCTGATAGAAGACCTTCTGAGTGGATATGACAAACTCGTTCGACCAGTAGCTGATCAATCTCAACCAGTCAGTCTGTATATTTCCATGGATCTAGTGGCCATTCAGGAATTTGATGAAGTGCTTGAAAAATTTTCTGTTGTTGCTGTTATCTACATCATATGGGAGGATATCCGCATGACGTGGAATTCCTCAGAATACAATGGCTTGAGCACTATATTGATTCCCCAGCCAAATGTGTGGACGCCTACGCTGTTAGTTACTAACTCATTTGGCACAGTTAAACCTATTGGTGCAGACTGGATGAAAGTACGATATTACGATAACGGTATTTCTGTTTATAGCCCAGGAGATGTTTTTCAGACAACGTGCGCTGTCGATGTAACTTTTTATCCTTACGATGCTCAGACCTGCAAGGTCATGCTGATTCCCTGGGGGTCGCTACCGACTGAAATAACAATATATGCAAGCAAAGATTATGTCTTGAAATCATATTTCTCTGAAAATGGCGAGTGGGAAGTCACGTCAACGTCTGTTACTTCAGGAAAAACTGACGTTTTGTCATACATTGAGTTTATTATCAAAATGAAGAGAAGACCCAGATTCATCCTTGTAAATGTACTCCTTCCAATTATTTTCATGGGAATTCTGAACATTATGGTATTTATTTTGCCTGCTGAATCTGGAGAGAGAGTTTCATTCTGCATAACAGTTCTACTGGCCTTTGCCGTTTTTCTGACAATCGTTGGAGACAATTTGCCAAAGACATCAAAGCCCATGCCTATGATATGCTATTTTCTGCTGGTGAATCTCTCCCTAAGTACTTTCATAAGCATCATGACGATACTCAACCTTCGACTGTACCACAAACCGGAATCCAAGCCTGTACCTCGACTGTTGGCTGTTATGGCTCGGAAGTTGAAATGCATGTGTGCACAATCCCGAAATGCTGTTCAGCCTTTCGTTCAGAAGTCTATAAATGAGATACCTGTCACTAAGAAGGAGAAAATGTCCTTCGAACTAAAGAAAGAATCGGACCAAATGTGGACTGCTAACGAAAATTTGATTGCTGCCGTAAGCTGGAAGGACATCAGCGGAATAGTGGATAGTGTTTTGTGCATGTTTTCTATACTATGGTTAATCATCTCATCGACTATGTTTATTGTGATGATAGAATCCAACAAGGAAATAATGTAACAAAAAGGGCTGAAGGTACTTTTGCTCTTTTTGTGAATGGGCTACTGACAATGTCTAGTTTAATTCCTTACAGCAAATAACAAATAGATGAAGATACTGCGAGATGAAATCAAATTTTCTTATAATCCTGCTTATGGACTGTTGTGACATGTGGCGAATTTGTACTTCTTAAGACCGCTGCGGTGGCCTAGTGGTTAGAGCGTCCGTCTCGGGTTCTTGGAAGTCATGGGTTCGATCCCCAGTCGAGTCATACAAAAGACTTAAAAAATTGTACTAACAGCTGCCTCGCTTGGCGCTCAGCATTTTGAGGTTAGTGTTAGGACTGGTCGGCCTGGTGGCAGAATAAAGTGATTGGGTTGGACATCATGCTATATGTCTGTGGCATGATGCCCCTGTGCTAGACATCACTATAAACTGCCACACTGCATACATCGTAGTGATATAGCAGAAATATTGTTAAAGCTACCTTAAAAATTATAATCACATCACATCACATCACATCACATGTACCTCTTGAGATTCATGCTCTATCATAGATGTGAATCCATAAATATAATGAGGAAGAAGAACAAACATTAAAGTAGAGTTATTGTTTTAGTTAACAATGTGGCATTCAAATTGAATAATTCGTCAATCTTTCTTCTTTCTAATCCCTCTACCTATTTCACATTTCTATTTCTAAATGCCGTAAAATAAATCAGTCCCAATTTAACTTCAAATTCTATGAAATTTTAATCGTCGTTTTTGATTACCTTGATCGGTCGTCCATCTCTCTCTCTCTCTCTCTCTCTCTCTCTCTCTCTCTCTCTCTCTCTCTCTCTCTCTCTCTCTCGCGAGCGCGCAGACACAGTAAAGTCAAAATCTGACCATTGTTAAGTGAAGAGCCAGCCAGAACGATACGTTTCATTTTCTTGTTTACTGTTAACCTATTATTTTAACGAGAACTTCCTCTATTGGCTGATGTATGTATTGAAATTCTATGCTTTTTCTTGATTCTCACAATTTGCAGAAATCATATTTATATTATCTTTGTAATAGATTCATGCTGAAAATGAAGTCATTCAGCTAGTTCCGAATTTTATAAAATCTCTGGTTGCGTTTTGTTTTGGAGGTGGAGTGTACTTTATTTCAGCTCTTAATGTATGCATCACTGTGATATCAGTTAAATTCTAGTATTGGGGCCAACTATCTCGTCGTCTTGTACTTACATTAAACCTAATTTAAACACAAACCAGTTGCTAAAGAAAATATATAATCTCTGATTTGCGACGTTCTTTTTATAATTACTTCATCAATCCAGCCTTCTTAACCTGAGTAAATGTTGAAAAATGTTGGCGTCGACAAACTGCTTTTTATTTAGTTCATTAGTAAATATATTTAGAATCCATTCCTAATTCAAATTTGTGCTGTGTTTTAATTTAATTCTGTTCGTTTGCCTTTCTGCCAGTTTTCATTAATTTAAACCACTTCACCTCTTTGTTAAACTTCTTGATTAGTTATTTCACTATATGCAGTGTTCCGTCGAATTCGCCGGTCAGGAAATAAATGTAACCATGGTAATAAAGTCCTATCATGTCTTATCTCTAATTACCTTAGCAAGCACTTATTGAGTTTTATTTACAAGCAACTAATTTTAGTGGTAATCTAACTGGAATAATGGGAAAACTGGAAATGTGTTTATAGAATGGCAATATCTTGTTACTAGAAGGAATTCAGAACGGCTCAAAATGATATAATAATATATTATTGGTGTGAAGCTCATTAAAAAAAATTAAAATTGATTGCAGAAGTGACGTCTTGGTTGGAAATGTCAAATAACCAAATTTTCTATTGTACACTTCAACATGTGTAAGGAAATTGTGGTTTTCGTTTAAAACAGTTCTATTTTTGGAGTAATTGCTTAGAATTGATAAAACAATCCATGGTGATTGCTATAAATATTAAAAGCAACATGTATTCAACGATAATTTTAAAACCATTTTAATTATTTCAGACAACTATGCGCAATGATAAGCATTTATTGCATGTCAGGCTTAAAAAGTTATTAAATCTCTTCTAGTGCTTTTAGAATGTATTAAATATTCTAAATTAATTATCTAATCTGGGAAAATAGGTTTATATGTCTCGAGAAGCTAGAATTTATTTGCGATTTTTCCCTGATCTATCATGAAGCACTGATTAATTTATTTACCTTTCAAAATCAATTATTAGTCAAATATTTAATATGTGTGACTCCCTCAGTATAATCTTGGAATTATTACATTTCTTCCAAAACATACCTTTTTGCATGATTGAATGTTCAAGACTCTTTTGGTTTTGGATTATAATTTTGTTTTTATCGTATACAGTAAATAGGCCGGCTACACGATGGTCCGTGTTAAGATACTGAATATAGCATACTATGCGTTAGTAAAATGACTAGCCATTATTACCTTGTTATTACAAACTGCATATATATATATATATATATATATATATATATATATATATATATATATATATATATATATATATATATATATATATATATATATATATATATATATATATATATACACCCACTCAAATCATATGGCGAATAACAACCCTTTCACGCGTACTGGATCCAGCAAAGGATCGCGTGTTTCAGGGATTGATTAAATTAGATGCAAACAACTGACTACGAATAGTGCGAAACTAGTAACTAACTGGCCTGAGCCCTTTCGACTCTTATTGAGTCTTTTTCAACGGCAAATACAAAACATATACAAAACAAACAAATAATCAGACTAGCCTTTATTGCCTTTTTATTGCCCACTGCATGTATATTGTACTGTGATTAGCCTTTATTCTCTTGGTACCAATTGGACGGTAAGCATGTAATGCTATCGTAATCAAATGAGGAGAAAAAGAATGGGGAAAAATATTAAAGATATAATAAGGAAGTAACAAATTAAATGTTTTGGACAAGTTAACTTTTCCGTATTTTGTTTTCAGTGCAATATAACTAAAAGACCAGGAAGGAACGTAATATGATTCAAAACACTGCAATGGTACTTGAATGACCGTGTAATGAAATAGTGCAATTTTTATTTCAATATATTCGGTACACAGCATATCTTTATTTGTCTCAATTGGTCTGTTAAGAAATAATCTCAACGATCTGAGGAAATATCGATGGTGTCTGGTTATCCACTTTATCTTATATCAAAATAAAAGACAGAATATCGCCCATGAATCAAAAGATAGCCGATAATTATCGGCTTTGTTCTCGTTGCAAATTGTAAATTATATATTATTTTTGCAATGAAATAAGTATATTGTTACAGCAGGAAGGGATTATTTTGTGTCGCGGATTAGTGAAGATTAGTACACAATACCATGATCATCAGATACGTCACACTATGTAGGTAACAGATAATAGCATTATTTGATAAATTTAATTATTGTTTAGGATATATTCATTGCCTCTTGAGAAGCAAGCGTGGGTGATTGCTTTCTTGGTGTTGATGTATCTGCACAAATTTATGGAAGTTATACGAATTCTTTTAAAATTCGGTGTTTCCACAAACTTAATAGGCATTTGTACCTTATATTTCTTATATTTACCGGACCAAAATTTCTATCCTTTTCGAGGATACGAATTTCAAGAATTGGGATGCCAAAAATTGCTAATTGAATTTATTGTTTTAATTTCGACGCAAATGTGACATAGTATTAGGAAAAAATACCCTAGGTGAAAAGTCATTGATTTCTAGGTTGCGGATAATGATTTTAAAAATGTTCCAATTGCTGTGTTCCATGCACGATATTTAGAGCTAGACATTTAATAGACTTGATGGGACACTGAGAATCATCAATCTACGATTTCCTGTTACTTGTATTTATCGTTCGAGTAGAAGCCAAAATATGGATGAAAATTCTAATGTTATGCTGTATCATCGGCAGTGTTTGGTTAGAGGATGATAGAACACCTTTTTGAAGATGAAATCAAATTTTCTAATAACCCTGCTTATGAACTTGTTTGACATATGGTGAATTTTCATACCCATTCATAAATCAGAATACAGGCATGTAATGAGACAAATGAACAAACACAAAACTACAGTTATTATTTTAATAAACACCGTAAAATGGCATTCGAATTATTTCGGCTTTTACATCCCTCTGATAAACACTTCTATTTCAAAATATGGTATGTTAAATTATCGCACATTTAACGTAATATAAATTAAATGAAATTTGAAATTTCTTTCCTATGATTACATTGACCATCTCTCTCTCTCTTTCACACAAACACACACACACACACACACACACGCGCGCGCGCCCGCGTAGACACAGTGAAGTCAAAATATGACCATGTATATAGTACAGTGAAGAACTAGCAAGAAGGACACTTTTAACATCTTATTTTCTGTTAACCTATTATTTTCACGAGGACAATTGGCTGATACATGTCTGTGACTTATATTGGAATTCATTTGCTTTTTCTTGCTTCTCGCCATTTGCAATTAATGCTTTTACCAGCTAAGATGGTAAAGTACTTGCGAATCATGGTTTTTATAATAAATTCATGCTGAAAGTTAGATAATTCAACTAGTTCAGGATTTAAAAATTTCTCTGGTTGTTTTATTTTTTGGAGGTGGTATCTTTTATTTCGCCTCTTGATGTATGCATCACTTTGTCATGTCAATTCAATTCTAGTATTTAGGCCAACTATCTAGTCTTCTGTATGTGTGTGTTTGTGTGTATATGTTTGTGTGTGTATATATGTGTGTTTTTTAACGTAGCTTTAACAATTTGTTTTTTTATTTTTTTGTTTGAGTTTGTTTATGTGTTTTTTAAATCCTAGTTTAACAAATATGGAAGAGTGAATTAATTACTACTACGATAATCTCAGTATGGCAGTTATTGGTGCCTTTTCTTATAAGTCTTTGTTATGATTCAGTCGCGGTTCAAACCCACGACCGCCCGAGGGAACACAAACCACAAGGCCACCGGAGCGGTCTCTCGTCTTCTGATACATCCATTTAACACAATTTAAACACAAACCAGTTGCTTTAAAAATTATAATCACTGATCTGCGACAGTTATTTTTTTATTTTCTTCATCAATCTAGCTTTCTTAAACTGAGTAAATATTGAAACATTTTGGCGTCGACAAACTAACTTTCATTTATTTATTTCTTTAATAAATACTTTGAGAATAGTTTTCCTATTCAAATGTTTAATGTTGTATTTTAATTTTGTTTCCTTGTTGCCTTTTTGA